CCCGGCGCCCCCGAGGAGCCGTGCCGTGCCCCGCCGGGGCTTTCGGCTTCCCCGGGGTGCGGAGCTTCTCATTCGCGAGTCCTGAGTCAGATCCAGCCAGACTTAACCAAGCGTTATTTCCTAACGCCAGCGTGCAAAAGGTTGTTATTTACCTTCTGGTTACAGATATTTCAGGCTTCAAAATTACGAGGTTGCACTTTTTTTTTTTTTTAAAGACTCCAACTGGGTTGCCCATTCAAAATACTAAAAACATTTCATGAGTACCTGCTTTTCGTTCACTCTGACTCAACTGTGCGCAACTACTTAAAAGTAGTAGAAAACGTCTGATGTAAAAGTTCTGGTTAGGTGAGAGTCTAGGCAGGTACGTGTTCATCAGACCACTTATAATGCATTTTCTCATGTGTCTTTGTATCCGTGTCTTCCCCAGATGAAGGATGTGGCATCATCAGCAGTTTTGTTATTTCTCCTTGTGTGGCTTAGGCTGGGGTGTCCTGTCACTGGGATGACTAGGCACGGTTTCAGCCAGTCTTATCCCGTGCAGTGTTTCTGGGTGTTTATCCTCAATGTGTACAGCTGCAATTTTAAAGACAACATTTTAAGAAGGGTTCATGCAAGTGTATGCATCTGCTCTGGAGGTTAAACCAGCTAGGGCGTTAACACTGTGCTCCTTTATTTTTAGATGTGTGATGTTTCTCAGTTGTGCTTTTGTGATGAGAAGAAATGCCTCAGCTGGAGATGCCAGTCTTCCCCACCCCAATCCAAACTCTAGGTGGGGAGCAGTCAGCTCCTCTAAACACAACTCATCCGTGCTTCCAGCATACCCAGTACATAAATAGGTTTGGTGCACTTCTGAAGTAATAGCTGCTTAGCTTTGAAATCATGGCTGCAGAAGGAGGAAGAAGCAACAGTTAGTATTCTTTCTTGTGCTCTTTCCTCATCCCTGCACCCCTTGTAGCTGGATGCCTCTTGCACTCTTAAGAAGTGGGAGGTGTGGGATTGAATCCCCAGTTAGGCTAAGGCAGGCACTGAGCCTGGCCTCCCCTCTTTTCTGAGTGCTTTACCCTGTCAGTTATCAGATAAGAAGACGGATACCTCTTATTCCTCCTCTAGACTTATTTTAGAAGTGAACCTTGTGTCCCATCCATTTATCTTCAGGGAAGGGCTCCAGGCTCTAGAGGCGCATGCCTACAGGTCCCACCTTAGGTATGTTTTGGAAGGGAATGGGATTCAGACTTGTGCCTAAGCGATGAGGTGTAGGCGGTTCGTTCTTGGGGTTGCATTCTGGAGACCGTATGTCCAATTAACTCCACAGTCTGGCCCTCAATCTGTTGAGACTGCCCTGCAGAGGGAGAAATCAGAGTGGGTGGAAAACTGGGTAGATCCGTTTATGATTCGGAACAAGAAATGTGATTATCCTTATCTTACACAGAGGAAGTACATATAACACTTGGTCATAAACATTTCCAGTTTTATTATCCAGCCGCACAATTAATCTGTGTGAATTCCATCAGCAGTGGATTTTACTGATGATTACATACCATGTGCAGTCGTTTTTTTCTTCCTTGTAAATACCATTCATTTTAACCTGTACATTCCTTTTAACACTGATTTTCTTGAATTTTAGGAGGTTTTCACACTGAAGTCTAAGTTTCACTGTTAGATGTACATATACACAAATAGCCTTAAAGTAGATTTATGGCGATACTTTTTCCTAAATCCTAATAATTTAAATGAAACTAGCTGTTTAAATTATTTTTACTGGTAGGATTTGCTTCGATGCCATGTGGGGATTCCTCGTATATTGATTCATATACTGTTTGGATCTTTAAAAATCTAGATTCTTTAAGAGATTAGTAGCAGAATTGCATTTTTAAGTTTCCATGGCAAAAGACCATGTTTGTGTTGGACTGCTTTTCAATAGCATTTTAATGAAAATAATTGCATCTTGGCATGTTACAGAGTAAACTACTGGTGCTGCTTCAAGTCCACCGCAGTCAACAAGCAGACAGAAGTATATTGATTCACTGTACATAGAAAGGTCTGTCTATACAACCAGAAGGACTAAAAACCTCTCTTAAATAACTGTTACATAAAGTTCAAACTTTTTCCCTTTCGTGTTCTTATGCTCATGGCAGCCTAACATAAGGTTGGCATTGTCACAGAACTGCAGAAACAGTTGCTGTCATTTTTAGATGATGAAAATTATTGATGATTTAAAATCCAACTATAGTGATGTAATATGTGCATATCTTTAATATATATTGAAATTAAAATATCTGGTTCTGAATGTTGTAATTCTCCCCTTCCCCCAAGTGACCAATCATTAGAAAAATGCATTAAATTATGGAAATCTGTAGTCAGCGATTAACCGTCACATATAAACTCTAGGGATTAGGAGAGAGAAATTGGTATTTTGAAAAAAATACAGACATACATTGTGTTGGATATGAAAATTACTTGTACAGCGGTCCTATGTAGCAAGATTCAGACTACCTTTTGTGATGTATGGTATAACTCTTCTGGAAGAGCTGAATATTTTTAAGGATAGTAGAGTAATAGGTGAAAGTAATGTCAATATGAGAATTCGTGGTCCTTAACACCTTACCTGAGTGTGTTATCAGAACCTCCTCTGGAAGCAGATGTAACTCTGCTAATCTCATGTCTTGTGTTGCAGTGCACAACGGTGGTCTGCCAAAATGGCCAAAGTGGTGGAAAGTTTAAAATAAATGACAGTAACCTTATTCTCTACCTATGTGGCTTTGGTTACCCACAGGCAGATCTGCACAAACAGATCTCCCTAAGCCAGAGCAGAGCTGAGCAAGGTTTTTCTGATAGTGTCAGGACCTGCTGCTTTCTTCCAGTTACTTTCTTGATCTGGAGAAAGTTGCCCTCAAAAGCCCTCTGTGTTTCTTTTAGAATTGCAAAGCTCCTCTTTCTTAAGAAAGAACGCAGACTCTCTTAATCCCGTAGTTAGTTATATATCAAAAATAGAAAACCCGAAGCTGATTGTATAAAATGCAGTCTGTTTTGTTTATGAATGAATTAATTTAACATGCTCCTGGAAATTGCATGCAGGATTCTGATCTCATACTGGTGCAAATTCAGCAGTCATTCCCCCTTAGCCACTGAAATTAAATAGGCATAAAACTGGTTTGCATAAGATGAATGATAAGGACACCTTTTAGCGTCATTTGTGTAGTGTATTTACTCAGTAGTAACAGCACTTTAGTGTCATGGTTGGACCGGTGCATATTATGAATTAGTGTGCAAATACCACCACATCGTTGCGGTTTCTTGGGAGGCAGTGTGGCAGTTTTTATTTTAACAGGAAGGGCCAGGCTTTTGATTGCATGCTACCCCTTTTTGCATCATCAAACGAAGGGAAAAATAGCTGTTGAAATCACTCGCTTGATCTAGTTAAACTGAGCTTGGGATGCCTGCCGGAAGGAGGAGATGAAGATAAATGTGCCACCTGTTTGGTCCACCAGTCCCAGGGATGGCTGGTTACCAAATCAGTCCCCGGAGTAGCTTAAAGCGGTCTCAGAGCTGCTCTAAGGAGTGATTTCTGGCTGGCGCTTGAGGCTGCGGTGGTACTCTGGATATGGCCGCTTCCCGCAGAGTGTCTTCTGTGCCCAGAGCTGTGAGAGGAAAGGTGTTGACCTGGCTACTTTAGCTCTCCATGGTCCCAGGATGCTTTTTAAAGCAGGGAATCCTTAGCTGGCTGGTTAAGGGAGTTTAAGGGTCCTTTCACACAGGCACCACACAGCTGAGAGGCTGGCGTCGAGCCAGAGACCCTCCTTGCCGGAGTAGGCTGGTGTTACTGAGACCAGAATGAGGTCTCTGACCTGTTCCGACAACATCGTTTCCATGTGCCTAAGGATGCCAACACTTAATTTGTTTGACTTGGTGGCACTGTAGTTCTCTAGCGGTATAGTATAATGTGCAGTCAAAGGGCCAATTCTCCTTTCGTTTACACTGAGAAATTCCTCTT